TGTTAACCAATGTCATAAAACAACATGTGTACTACTGTTTTATGAGAAACTATTTGTTCTGTAAGCCTTCACCTGAAGTACAATAAAATATATATATATAAAAAAAAGTGTTGTCTTTATCTAGAAAGGACAACATCCTTTCCTGGGCTACTGGCCATTTCTACTTCTTTTCTGGAGAATGGTCCCATCCTCTTCTCTGCTCCCTCCACCTCTTTTCTTTGGAATCAGTGATGTCCACCTCTGCAGTCCTGAAAATACCTGGCAATGAGATTGGAGGAAAGGATGTCAGGAAAGGAAGCAGAGAGTAGGAATGAATTTTGTTACTTCTTAACACTATTCTGTTCCTTTTTTTCCTTCAATATGGGAATGCATTCTTTCTGTTATCAGAAAATACAACGATTTTCGTTTAAGAAAAAAATTCACTTTTTTTAAAAAAAGGTATGAAGCATAACTACAATTCTCACTACGTATGAGTTTTACACATATCACGCAGAACAATCTTAATGTCTTCTACATCTTGTCTTATGACAAAACCCTGATTTAGCTAATCATTTATCTGGAAATTTATAAATCCACTAATATGCCATACCAAATAGACTATTTTTGGGATGCAAGGAAAGTTCAATGTTGGAAAGCCATTCATTTACTTTTCAACACATTTATTGAGCACCTATTATATGCCATGCAATTGTTCTAGATGCTGGGGTTACAGAAGTGAATAAAGCTGATCTAAGTCTCTAATCTCATGGGCCTTACATTCTAGTGGGGGAGACAAACAATAAACAAGATAAGCAAACAAAATGTATAGTATGTTGGTAAGATAGTGATAAACGCTAAAGAGAAAAAAATAAAAGGCAAGAAAAGAAAATAATGAAAAATCAAGATGGGCTGAACTTTTAGATAGAGTGACAAGGGAAGAGCTCACTAGAAAGGGACCTTGGAGTAAAGACCTGAAGTCAGTGAGGGAACTAGGTATAGTGATATCTGGGGGAAGAACATTCCAGGCAGGGGAGCAAGCACGTGCAAAAGCTCTTGAAGGGAACAGGACTAGTATGTTCCAGAAACATCAAGGAGGCCAGGATGGCTAGAGGAGAGAGGTAATAAGGTTGAATACCGTAGGGGCTTGAAGGTTATAGTTAAGGACATGTACATTTACTATAAACAACGTGGGAAGCAGGTAGAGAGTTTGAACAAGGAGGATGAATTGAGAATAGACTATAAGGAGATAAGAATGACAGAGAGACTGGTGTATCTACATCATTCAATACAACAGAAATCGGGGGGGGGGATCTTACAATCAAATTGTGATAAATGTAATCATTTAGTGATAAACATAATCATTTATGTAGTCAAGAATTATATTATAATTTAATCAGCCATTCTTGGTTAAGTTAAACTAGATATAAAAGAAAATATCCTTAATCTGGTGAAGAATATGTCAGAGGTTTTTCTGACCTGTGGGCTACCAAGACCACAAAATGTATGTACAGCTTGCCTCCATTCACGGACATTACCTCTTTATACTACTTTTTTGTGGTTGTGGTAAACATAAGTGAAAGTAATCTAGAAAAAAAAGAGAATATATCCGAAAGAGCGAAAATTACACCAAATGATGAAGTAAAACAGACATTCCCGTTTACTCAAAGAACAAGATCAAAAGGCTCTCAATCACCACTATTATTCAACATAGTTCTGGAGGTTCTGGTCAGTGTAATACATACAGAAAAGGAAAGAAAAAGAGGTACAAATATTGGAAAGGAAGAAATGAAAAATCATCATTTGTAGATGATTATGTATGCATGCCTGGAAAAACCAACAGCATCACCTGAAAATGACTAGAATTAATAAGAGAGAGCCCCAAAATTGGCAGACAAAAAAATATATATAATTTTCCCATGAATGGCAAATTGCCTATTAAAATTGTCATTTGAAGAACTAATAACATTCTAGCAACAAAGACTACTAAATACCTAGGAAAAACTAACAAGTAATGTGAATTACTTAGCTGAAGAAACTTATAAAACTTGATTAATAAATATAAAAACAGAATTGAGCAAAATATAGACACACCATCTTCCTGGAGGGAAGTCTCAATTTTCAGATGTTAATGTTACTTAAATTAGCCTGCAGATTTAAAGCAATTCCAATACAAATCCCAGCACTTTTTTTTAAATTTTATTGTACTTTAGGTGAAAGTTTACCTAGCAAATTAGTTTCTCATTCAAAAATTTATACACAAATTGTTTTGTGACAATGGTTGCAATCCCCACAATGTGTCAGCACTCTCCCCTTTTCCATTTACACCCCAGGTTCCTCTTGTCCATTTGTCCAGTTTTCCTGTCCCTTCCTGCCTTCTGGTCTTTGCTTTGGGGCAGGTGTTGCCCATTTGGTCTTGTATACTTGACTGAACTAAGAAGTACGTTCCTAACGTGTGTTATTGTTTGTTTTATAGGCCTGTCTAATCTTTGGCTGAAAGGTGGACTTCAGGAGTGGCTTCAGTTCCAACACTTACTTTTTGTTTATCAATTTGGAACTTGATTAATAAGCAAAAGTGTACTTAATAATCATGTGCATAAAAAGAAAGTTGGAAATTGTTAGCAGTGGCTGGGACCGGAAAAGATATTACAAGGTTTTTTCCCATAATGTTGTTGTTAGGTGCCATCTAGTAGGTTCTGACTCATAGTGACGCTATGTACAACAGAAGGAAATACTGGCAGGTCCTGTGCCATCCTCACAATCTTTGTTATGTTCGAGCCCATTGTTGCAGCCACTGTGTCAATCCATCTCACTGAAGGTCTGCCTCTTTTTTGCTAACCCTCTACTCTACCAAGCATGATGTCCTTCTCCAGGGAATGGTCCCTCCTGATAACATGTCCAAACTACATGAGACAAAGTCTCACCATCCTCGCTTCTAAGGATCATTCTGGTTGTACTTCTTCCAACACAGATTTGTTCATTCTTCTGGCAGTCCACGGTATATTCAATATTCTTCACCAACAAAGGCATTGATTCTTCTTTGGTCTTCCTTATTCATTGTCTAGCTTTCACATGCATATGAGGCCATTGAAAACACCTTGGCTTGGGTCAGGTGCACCTTAGTTTTTAAAATGACATCTTTGCTTTTTAACACTTTAAAGAGATCTTTTGCAGCAGATTTGCCCAATGCAATGCTTCATTTGATTTCTTGACTGCTGCTTCCATGGGCGTTGATTGTGGATCCAAGTAAAATGAAATCCTTGACAACTTCATCTTTTCTCCATTTATCCTGATGCTGCTCATTGGACCAGTTATGAGGATTTTTGTTTTCTTTATGTTGAGATGTAATCCATACTGAAGGCTATGGTCTTTGATCTTCATCAGTAAGTGCTTCAAGTCCTCTTCCCTTTCAGCAAGCAAGGTTGTGTCATCTGCATATCAAAGGTTGGTAAGAGTCTTCCACCAATTCTGATGCCCCGTTCTTCTTCATGTAATCCAGTTTCTTGGATTATTTCTCAGCATACAGATTGAATAAGTATGGTGAAAGGATACAACCCTGACACACACCTTTCCTGAGTTTAAACCATGCCTTATCCCCTCGTTCTGTTCAAACAGCTGCCTCTTGGTCTAAGTTCAAGTTCCTCATGAGCACAATTAAATGTTCTGGAATTCCCATTCTTTGTAATATTATCCATAATTTGTTATGATCCACACAGCTGAATGCTTTTACATAGTCAATAAAACAAGGTAACTATATTTCTGGTATTCTCTGCTTTCAGCCAAGATCCGTTTGACATCAGCAATGATATCCCTTGTTCCACGTCCTCTTCTGAATCCAGCTTGAATTTCTGGTAGTTCCCTGTTGATGTACTGCTGCAACCACTTTTGAATGATCTTCAGCAAAATTTTACTTGTGCGTGATATTAATGATATTGTTCAATAATTTCCACATTCTGTTGGATCATCTTTCTTTGGAATGGGTACAAATATGGATCTTTTCCAGTCAGTTGGCCAGGGAGCTGTCTTCCAAATTTCTTGGCATAGAAGAGTGAGCTCTTCCAGCACTGCATCCATTTGTTGAAACACCTCAGTTGGTATTCTGTCTA